GGACTAGTATATTAATATGACGAAATTGTGGGGAAGTACCTCTGGGGACATTTTTCCGTCGCTGGAGTGATTTTGCAAATGTCGAAAATTGAGAATTTTCCCTGTGAGGTGTAAAGACACGCGCGAATGGGGAAATTTGTTTCTAGAAATTCCCCGTGTGAAAATCTCACAAGGCAGAGCTTCCACACTTACAACAACGTCGTGAAAGTAACATGAGCGAGCACGACGAAGCCACTAGACGCAAAAAGACGGCATTCCGATTCTCAGTGTCTGCCGACATTGACCTCCTTAAGGAGGTAGTGATGGTGGTCCCATTTGATGCAGCCTACGGCCAAACGTCCGCACGATGGGACGAAGTGTGCGAACACATGCGTCAACTTCACGGCAACGCCATGACGTCAGTCTGCTGCAGGAAGAGATTCGACGATCTATTGCCCGCGTTCAAGAAGTCATCGCTGAAGGCACTGCGTGCGTCTGGTACAGAAGAAGAGTACCTGGAACGTGACCAACTCATGCAAGACATCTCAGACATGGTAAGGACAAACTAAAGTGTATGCAAGAGCTGATTGTATATCTAGATGGACATTGCTCTGCTTCGAAAGAAAGCTGCGAAACTAGTACAGGAGAGACGAGAAAGCGATAGTCATTTGATTCGTGAGGCTGCCTTGACCGGCATGAAGCGTAAGCAAGCAGAGCCCGACGACAATGCAAGTCAAGATGAGCAGCCGTTTTGTAAATCGCTCGACTCGAAGAAGGGTACTCGCAATGGAGCTCTACGTGAGTCGTCGTCGGTTGTTGCAAATTTCACAGTCATGATGGAAGGATCGGATCAAGTCAGAGGAAGTGGCCGTGAGGAAGGAGGAAGTTGCGCTGGAACAACGTGGGCTCGAGTTAGAACAAGCAAAATATGCATTGGACAAAGCAGAGCGCGAAGCACGGTTTGCACTTGAGAAAACAGAACGTGAAACGCAGTTAGAATTCTTGCATACCACAATTGACTTGATAAGATCAATGAGAAACTAGTCTTTTTGCTTTCATTTCGTATATGCAATTATGTTTTCTTAGGCAGTACTGTTTAGTTGCACGTGCAAATATTCCTCTGCTGTGGGTGGATCAACTCCAAAATACTTGGAGATTTGATTTCCTCTCATACATGCATGGACATTTGTCAGTAAGACAGCAACTGCGTGCTGAATACCAACAGCTTGCAGCCAGAATGTCTGTCCTTGTAATCTACAAATATCCACAAGTTACGTACGATTCCGAAACCCCACTCCACACTAACACGAAATGAGCTCATTCGTCGATTGAATTCGGCCTCATTTTCGTGTAGATGTGCACCTTTAAAACCAGAAACAATTACATCATTGATCATATTGATCATATGCGGGATCTCCGTAAATCACATATCTGGTATTCCCTACCCGAAGTTTGAAAGTCAAATTCTCAACCAGGTTGCTCCTTGCAAGCAAGTACATATCATGGCGAGAGCCTGGTTCGGGTCCGTGTAGATGCGCAATGATGCCGTCAGGCGAGGTAACGGCTTGATACTTGACAGCATGCTTGCGCTATTCAGACAATGTTAACCGTCAACAAACGCACAACACAAGGATTCGTACCTTGTGTCCATTAAAGACCGTTTTCTGAACTTTGTTTCCTGGACGGCATATTCCGCGAACAGTGCCATCGATAAACCCAATGCACGTGTCGAGTGGGACGCCAGCTCCATAAATTGCCTTGGAGCAGCGCCCCATTCCAGTCGCCGTCGAGTCTGACGTCATCCCAGACAAGCAAGTGGCCAAACTTGTCATAAATGTGCTGCAAAGCATGGCTGACGATGCAGGAGAGTGCTTCACGGCTTCTCCCAAAGAGGAGGACCATGGAGCCAAGACGGGGGGGCATGCAAGTCGATTTGACACGATGCATATCCCTTCGATGGGGTCAACTTTA